TTAATCAGCACAACAGTTTTTAGCTGTGCTAACATAATTGCAAAAGGGTTTTCTAATGATCAATTAGCCTTTTAAAATGATAAGCTTGGATTAGCAAACACAACGTGCCATTGGAACACAGGACTGATGGTTGCTGATAATGGGCCCCTGTCTGCCTATGTAGATATAAAAAAAAATATATATATATATATATATTTTGAAAACAAGGACATTTTTAAGTGACCCTAAACATTTGAACGGTAGTGTACGTTTGGTCATGAAGTATACATTTTATGTGAGATATCTTTATGTTTAAAATGTATTTAAATAAGAGACTGCTGTAGAAATAAAAAGACCTGAGTTTCTTGTTACTGACGTCATATTGAGAGGCTGGATGGAAAGGGAAGTGTATCTCACAGGAGAAAGCATCCATGCGAGCGAAACAGTGCCCATCTGTCTCTGTATGTGTAGGCCATCTATCTCATGCTGTCTGGTCCAAAAGAGTATGACATTGTTGCCGGCCGTAGCATTGAATGCAAGGGAAGCCAGCGAGCATTTGGCCTAAACTGAGTGAGCTCAACTGTGACTGGTCCTGGCGCACCCAAAAAAAAGTGTTAAGGGAAGCCAGTTTGGATTTGGCGTCACTCATATTAAATCGCATCGAGAGCATACGTCATTGGCAGAAACAACTTGAATTGTTGTATCTGGTTGTGTTGTTGTCCCTTTCCTAAATTAGCCATGGATGGAGATACGGATTTTGACTTGTGGTTTTATTAATTCTCTGTACTGGCCAATGATTATAACGGCGATTCTGATCCAACCATTAATTCATACATTGTGCCCCTGGCCTGAGAGGATGGAAGTTCAATATGTAGCTAGATGTAGAAGGCTAATGTTAACTAGCTAACGTTGCCCATGAAAGGAAGTTAGGCTAGCGAACAAGCATTTTAGCCAGGTAGCCTAGGACAATAAAAAATAAAAGCGTATAATGTATGACAGACCGTTTCGTCAACATGAAAGAGAGGAAGATGGCATTGACGTTTCTCCACAAGTAGAGTGAGACAACATGTTTTTTATACTTGCACGGATATGCACGCACACACACACACAGAAATCAAAACCATGGACAGCCACATCATATTTAGCTTACATTGATTGGACTACATTGTTTTTGGTACCTTTTAGATGACGTTGAAGTTGAAATGGTGCTGGAATAGTGGAGGCAGCTCCTGTTTGCTTTGCGACTTGCGGTAACTCTCCGTGGTTCTAAATCAATAGTTGTTTAGTCATCCGAAAATGTTGGTAACATTAACTTGCTTGACCATGCTGTAGGTCATGTAATTGTTTGTTACATGCAATATGCTTTGTGGACTCCACCGGATAGCGGTTGCTCTCCAGTTTTGTGATGAAACAAAGGTGTGATTGAATTTATTCTGCCACTGTGTCTTCTTATTGTCTCGGCCTTTAGGACTATATATCACGGTCGCAAGGCATATGAACTATCAGGCAAACAACGCAATTATCACAACACAAAGGTTGTAATATGGCTTTCCCAGTGATTTTACCCAAGCACCACTACTGGTGAGCAGAACCTGAGAACACACAGGATTGCAGATTTCTTCCCTATACAAATCGGAGTAGAACTCCACAGCCTGCTCCCGCATCTCCCCCACAACAGAAGTTACTTGCCCATCAGACAAACGTAAACAATGGATTTTCTTGGTTTCCCCGCTCTGTTTTTCCAACTCAAAAAATAAAGAGCTGGGAGCATCCATCTCCTCAACATGGAAAATCTAGCTCTTACAAGTGCTCCTTTTGCTTTAATCTGAAAAAAGAACATAGATCCCTGCATAATTCAGATTATCTTGCAGCCCCACCCTACCCTGCCCCACCAGCTCAGCCTCCCCTCACTTATGCTGCACTCAAGCTCCCCCAATACTCTCCTGGCCTCTGAAGAGGAAAAAGCTGTATACTGCTGACAGAAAACCAGAATCTGGGCTTTCCCTACATCCCAACACCCCCTTCTGCTGTCCCCACCTCTCCCAAAAGCCTTGGAAACTTGAACAAATAGTGGCATCTTGTAAGAGCTTTACATTGAATTTCCAATAAGACACCTGCCGGGGCCCTGGTGAAACAGAGAACTGAGCCATGGCAATATGATGGTCCGAAAATCCAAGTGGGAGAATGGAGGCCCTCAATAGCTTATTCTTGAATGTATACAGTAGATACGATCCAGATGAGCTGCACTCACCCTACCCCCAACCACCTAGTTAGTTCTCCATGTGTCCACTAGATCGAACTGATTAATTGAACACTCCTGCCGAACCCAAATGCGGTTCCTCACTGTTCCTGTCTTTAGTAAAGTCAATGTCGCAATTGCAATCCACCCCAACACAAGCACCTCGTCTAATGCTAAGTGTGTGAGATCCTGCCTTAGACACCCAAACAGGAGCTCCCTCTCCCACCCTGTACTAGGTGCATACACATTTATGAAAGCAAAGACAAGGTCATTGAGTTTGGCTCTAACCACTAACAATCTACCCTTACACACCACCTTTGAAGAAGAATGTTGACACTCAGGCCTGGGAAAAAAAGCACTGCTACCCCTGCACTAAGATTTGTGCTGAACAACGACATGGATAATATACTGGTTGGCTGGGTTTTCCGTGCATCGGCAAGACAGAACAGCTACTTCCGGGAAGACGAGGGGTGGTGGTCTGTGTCTATAGTAATTAAAGAAGTCTCTAGGTTTTGCTCACCTGAGGTAGAGTACCTCATGATAAGCTGTAGACCACACTATTTACGAAGATAGTTTTCATCTATATTTTTCGTAGCTGTCTATTTACCACCATCAATCACGGCCGGTTGTGATACAGCCTGGAATCGAACCAGGGGGTCTGTAGTGACGCCTCAAGCACTGAGATGCAGTGCTTTAGACCACTGCGCCACTCGGGAGTTTATACCAGGCGGTGTCAGAGGAAGGCCCTAGTCATAGACTGTTCTCTCTGCTACCGCACGGCAAGCGGTACCGCCAAGTCTAGGTCCAAAAAGCTACTTAACAACTTCTACCCTCAAGCTTTAAGACTGCTGAACAGGTAATCAAATGGCTACCCAGACTATTTGCATTGACCCCCCCCCCCCCCTTTTTCTTTCGCTGCTGCTACTCGCTGTTTATTATCTATGCATAGTCACTTTACCCCTACCTAGATGTACATATTACCTCAATTACCTTGACTAACCTGAACCCCTGCACATCGGTAACGGTACCCCCTGTATATACAGTGGCTTGTGAAAGTATTCACCCCTTTGGCATTTTTCCTATTTTGTTGCACAACTATTTGCACATGTACATAGCTGATAATATAACACTTGAAATGGCTATCTTTTTTAAACCTTTTTGAGTGCAATATTTACTGTTAAATTCTAATAGTTGTGTCTTCTCACTTTTGTTTATTATGCAAACACGTTTCCCATGCCAATAAAGTGCCTTTGAATTGAATTGAGTCTGTGCTCAGTGCTGGTGTGCGGCATGCTGAGGAGGGGTGTGACCGACTCTCCCACTTGAGGGGCTGCTGTGGAACTGCAGCAGGCAGGGCTGGGATTCCTGGCTAACACCACCCCCTCACAGCTCTCCCAAACACAAACACAAACAAACACACACACACACACGCACATCCACTGCAATGCAGGAAGGAGCTTCCCTCGGCCCTGCGTGGGAGAGACACCAATCACTGCCTGGCTCTCACCGAGTGAGCTGTGAGGGCGGGTTGTTCAGGGAGGGGATCCCTCATTTCTCTCCATCTGCCTCTCTCTCTTTGTCTACGACTCAATCCAGACTGTTGTGTTTGTGGCTTCACAGTGCAGTTAAAGGATTGTTTCACTATTATAGAATGAAATATCTATTGTTGATGTAAATGTCATGTTATAGAAGGGTCCAGACACTTTTTTAGTGATTTCACTTGGTTTTGAGAAACTTATCCCACCCGCAATAGACTTCCTCATTGCTCATTCTGCAGTATGGGGGCTCTGGAGAAACATGAACAAAGGCTCCAAAAACACCCAAACACGTCCTTTTAGAAACTCTCAGCAAAGTGATGCAGGTCTTTAGATGTTGTACACATTAAATTGTATAATTCTGAACTTTATCCACAACATTATATTCCATTTTGTGTGACTCAAGCGTTTTCCCCTACCAGCTGTGCGGCGCAGGCTACATGGAGAAGCAGCACAGCTGGTAAGTTCCTCAAAACCAAATGAAATCGCAAAAAAAATTGTCTGGACCCTTCTATAACATGCCATTACAAATATACAGATTAGGTAAAAAAATAGTGAACCACTCGTTTAGTGAGTGAGACCTCCCCCTCTTTGTCTTGGTAATCCATTCCAACCTTTGCCTAATCAGCAGTAGGCCTATTTATTTCCAGGGTACACATGGGTAAGAAGAATGGAAATGGGCCTCTTTAATTGGCTAGATAACAGATGGTGGGTCATGTGGTTACAAAAATCACCACACGCTCCTTTCAGCTTTTTTTCCTATGACTGTTTGATGATGTCAGTGCATTAGGAACAAGCACTGATTAAAATGAATGACGCCCATTTGATTTCCCAATTGTCTTTCTGCAGGGGAAACTGGGTTGCATGTTGTTCCAAGATAGTGTCAGAAATATGATTGCTTCATGGTGTAACCATAGAGATCTGATGTTAGCGCACACCACTGATAGTATTGCCAATATAGACTTAATATAACTTATTATTATTACTTCTTTTTTTTCCAGCAAATTCATTCCTTTTAAAGCTTATTTTGTTTGTGAAGTTTTCATTCTTAAAGTAGAGGAAACAAAGACTACTTTTTTCTACAAGTGTCTCTCCAAAAAGCTTCACCCACAGCTAAATCCACAGCTGGGAGGCAGACTGCTGTCAGCACATGAGTGCTCCTGGCTCTGACCTGTAGCTAAAACTGTATATGTGCTCCCATGCTTGTCCGATAAGTGTGTGTGTGTTTGTGTGTGTGTGCCTGCAGGGAGTTTGCCAAGGAGCGTGAGCGTGTGGAGAAGAGGCAGGAGTTTCTAAAGCTTCGCAGGCAGCAGCAGATCGAGAGAGAGCTGACTGGATACCTGGAGTGGATATGCAAGGCAGGTCAGACTGCCCTCTACTCCCTCTCCTTTTTTCTTTTAATACTTAATACCCCTTTACTTTAATACTTAGAGTTTACTTCAATACTGCTCAAGGTTTAGTTACAGGCAAACATGATTTTATACTATATGCAGTAATCTGCCACTCATTCCCTTTTATTTGGGCTCCCGAGTGGTGCAGCGGTCTAAGGCACTGCATCTCAGTGCTTGAGGCGTCACTACAGACCCCCTGGTTCGATTCCAGGCTGTATCACAATCCGGCCGTGATTGGGAGTCCCATAGGGCGGTGCACAATTGGCCCAGCGTCGTCCGGGTTTGGCCGGTGTAGGCCGTCATTGTAAATAAGAATTTGTTCTTAACTGACTTGCCTAGTTAAATAAAGGTAAAATAAATTGAAAACAAATTATATATATATATATATATATATATATATATATATATATATATATATACAGTACCAGTCAAAAGTTTGGACGCACCTACTCATTCAAGGGTTTTTCTTTATTTTTACTATGTTTTACATTGTAGAATAATTGTGAAGACATCAAAACATTGAAATAACACATATGGAATCATGTAGTAACCAAAAAAGTGTTAAACAAATCAAAATATATTTTATATTTGAGATTATTTAAAAAGCCACCATTTGCTTTGATGACAGCTTTGCACAATCTTGGCATTCTCTCAACCAGCTTCACCTGGAATGGTTTTCCAACAGTCTTCAACGAGTTCCCACATATGCTGAGCACTTGTTGGCTGCTTTTCCTTCACTCTGCCGTCTGACTCATCCCAAACCATCTCAATTGGTTTGAGGTCGGGTGATTGTGGAGGCCAGGTCATCTGATGCAGCACTCCATCACTCTCCTTCTTGGTCAAATAGCTCTTAGACAGCCTGGAGGTGTGTTGGGTCATTGTCCTGTGGAAAAACAAATTATAGTCCTACTAAGCCCAAACCAGATGGGATGGCGTATCGCTGCAGAATGCTGTGGTAGCAATGCTGGTTAAGTGTGCCTTGAATTCTAAATAAATCATAGACAGTGTCACCAGCAAAGCACCCCCACACCATAACACCACCTCCTCCATGCTTTTGGTGGGAACTACACATGCGGAGATCATCCGTTCACCCACACCGCATCTCACAAAGACACGGTGGTTTGAACCAAAAATCTCAGATTTGCACTCCAGACCAAAGGACTATTGCTTGTGTTTCTTGGCCCAAGCAAGTCTCTTCTTCTTATTGGTGTCCTTTAGTAGTAGTTCCTTTGCAGCAATTCGACCATGAAGGCCTGATTCACACAGTCCCCTCTGAACAGTTGATGTTGAGATGTGTCTGTTACTTGAACTCTTTGAAGCGTTTATTTGGGCTGCAATTTCTGAGGCTGGTAGCTCTAATGAACTTATCCTCTGCAGCAGAGGTAACTCTGGGCCTTCCATTCCAGTGGCGGTCCTCATGAGAGCCAGTTTCATCAAAGCGCTTGATGGTTTTTGCGACTGCACTTGAAGAAACTTTCAAAGTTCTTGAAATTTTCCGTATTGACTGACCTTCATGTCTTAAAGTAATGATGGACTGTTGTTTCTCTTTGCTTATTTAAGCTGTTCTTGCCATAATATGGACTTGGTCTTTTACCATATAGGGCTATCTTCTGTATAACCCCCCTACCTTGTCACAACACAACTGATTGGCTCAAACGCATTAAGAAGGAAAGAAATTCCACAAATTAACTTTTAAGAAGGCACACCTGTTAATTGAAATGCATTCCAGGTGACTACCTCATGATGCTGGTTGAGAGAATGCCAAGAGTGTGCAAAGCTGTCATCAAGGCAAAGGGTGGCTATTTGAAGAATCAAATCTAAAATATATTTTGATTTGTTTAACCATTTTTTGGTTACTACATGATTCCATATGTGTTATTTCATAGTTTTGATGTATGTCTTCACTATTATTCTATGATGTAAAAAATAGTAAAAATAAAGAAAAACCCTTGAAGGTAGGTGTGTCCCAACTTTTGACTGGTAGTATATATATATATATATATATATATATATATATATATATATATATATATATATATATATATGTTACATTGTGCTGACACAGCATTAGTCTTAGGGCTTTATGATATGAAATATTAAGTATGCTGATGGTTTGGAATCATTGTGTGTGTGTGTGTGTGTGGTGTGTGGTGTGTGCAGTGGCGGAAAAAGTACACAATTGTCATACTTGAGTAAAAATATAGATACCTTCATAGAAAGTTACTCAAGTAAAAGGAAAAGTCACCCAGTAAAATACTACTTGAGTAAAAGTCTAAAAGTATTTCATTCTAAATATACTTAAGTATCACATGTAAATGTAATTGCAAAAATATACTTAAGTATCAAAAGTACAAGTATAAATATTTTCAAATTCCTTATATTAAGCAAAGCAGATGGCACCATTTTCTTGTTTTAAACATTTACGGATAGCCAGGGGCACACACCAACACTCATATATTATTTTCAAAAGATACATTTGTGTTTAGTGTTCTCTTGATAAGTGCGTAAATTTGACAATTTTCCTGTCCCGCTAAGCATAAAAAATTTAATGAGAACTTTTGGGTGTCAGGGAAAATGTATTGAGTAAAAAGTACAATATTTTCTTTAGGAATGTAGTGAAGTAAAAGTAAAACTTGTCAAAAATTGAAATAGTAAAGTAAAGTAAAGATACCCCAAAACACTACTTGTAGTAATTCAGTATTTTTACTTAAGTACTTTACACCACTGTGTTTGTGTACTGTATGTGTTCATGATATGGTGTGTGGCTGACACCTGTGTATTTGTTTCAGAGGAAGTGATGCTGGCGGAGGAGGACAAGCACGCTGAAGAGAAGTCCCCTCTGGATGGAGCGTGGTACAAAAGAAAACACAACAACCCAGGTGAGGAATATACCAGGGCCCCGAGTTAGTCAAGTCAGACCACCTGATCTGATCAGGGAAAACTCAGTGCCTTGGTGATAAGCTTTGTCTGAGTGTCATCTCATTTTACATTACATTTTTAGTCATTTAGCAGACGCTCTTATCCAGAGCGACTTACAGTTAGTGTATAAATGTTTTTCTTTTATACTGGCCCCCCGTGGGAATCAAACCCACAACCCTGGCGTTGCAAACACCATGGTCTACCAACTGAGCTACATCCCTGCCGGCCATTCCCTCCCCAATTGTGCGCCGCCCCATGGGTCTCCCGGTCACAGCCAGCTACAACAGAGCCTGGATTCGAACCAGGATCTCTAGTGGCACAGCTAGCCTTAGACCACTGCGCCACTCGGGAGGTCTCCCTGTGTCTGCCCAGGACTGCTTACCCAGGCTCCTCTCTGGCTGTGGCTGTAGATGTGTCAGGCTTTGGGCTGATGCCACCCACTCTCTCTGTAATATATATTGTGCTGCTGCTATCATCAAGTGTGAACTCACAGTAATTATGGGTGTTGGGGCCACATGTAAATTGTATTACAACAGGAGAGAAGTGCACAGTGCCACAGTTCAGAGAGAGCCTGGCTGGGAGAGTGTGTGTGAGGGGGCTGTGTTGTCAGTCGAGTTTGAATGGTCTGTTGATCTAACAACACCTGAGAGGCCTCCCCTGAGATGCTTGTAGGAACAGTGTTTCACAAGCTATCATAAATGTGAAGGGTTCAAGTTGTGTGCTGCTTTTTTAAAAGGAAGTTAGTTGCCTGATGGAAGTCCTGTATTAATGCCCCGAGAGCTGATGTCATATCCATCAAACACACATACTGTATGCATTATCTCCCTGGAACAGATGACATCTGGTCTGGTACTAACCCTACAGTATTGTTCTAATGTGTGTTCAGTGTTGAAAAGAGCCAAGAAGAGCAAGAATGACCTGATCAATGCTGAGGAAGGCGAGGACCACTTCACTGACATCTCATCTGTTGGTAAGGCCAACGCCCGTGACTCCGACCTCTTAATCAACTTGTCAGCTTTCACACTGCTCACTGCTGTATCCTGTTCTACCCAATGATTTATATACACTAGATGACTGATAGGGGGCGCTGTGTTGAAGCCACTGTGCCTCCATCTTGGCACCCCCACCATTGTAAAAATATTTTGGAAGCTATAGAAATGCATTTATTAATCGAGAGCTTGAGACTATAAGGTTCTACCTGCAAAAAGATAATTCTGAAATAATTGGCTTTAAAGGTCCACATTTTTATCTTATATTCTTTTGAATTTAGCAACATGGATTGGGGTATTTAGAGTACTATATACAGTTGAAGTCGGAAGTTTACATACACTTAGGTTGGAGTCATTAAAACTTGTTTTTCAACCACTCCACAAATGTCTTGTTAACAAACTATAGTTTTGGCAAGTCGGTTAGGACATCTACTTTGTGCATGACAGAAGTAATTTTTCCATCAATTGTTTACAGACATATTATTTCACTTATAATTCACTGTATCACAATTCCAGTGGGTCAGAAGTTTCCATACGCTAAGCTGACTGTGCCTTTAAACAGCTTGGAAAATTCCAGAAAATGATGTCATGGCTTTAGAAACTTCTGATAGGCTAATTGACATCATTTGAGTCAATTGGAGGTGTACCTGTGGATGTATTTCAAGGCCTACCTTCAAACTCAGTGCCTCAATGCTTGACATCATGGGAAAATCAAAAGAAATCAGCCAAGACCTCAGAAACCAATTGTAGACCTCCACAAGTCTGGTTCATCCTTGGGAGCAATTTCCAAACGCCTGAAGGTACCACGTTCATCTGTACAAACAATAGTACGCAAGTATAAACACCATGGGACTACGCAGCCGTCATACCGCTCAGGAAGGAGACACGTTCTGTCTCCTAGAGATGAATGTACTTTGGTGCGAAAAGTGCAAATCAATCCCAGAACAACAGCAAAGGACCTTGTGAAGATGCTGGAGGAAACAGGTACAAAAGTATCTATATCCACAGTAAAACAAGTCCTATATCGACATAACCTGAAAGGCCGCTCAGCAAGGAAGAAGCCACTGCTCCAGACTACGGTTAAGAATGACTAATGACAGAAGCATCGCAATAGCCTCTTATTCAAAAAAGTATAAAGTAATAATAAAATAATCTACAACTGTTCCCTGCTTTTTGTTAGCTACTATCTGTTTGAACTCCTCAGTCCCGCTGCATAAGTGATTATTAATACTCCTCAATTAGATCTGCATCACTGCACAGTAATTAAAGGGGAGTATGTGGTTTGGCTCAGTATTAGAATCCCATACACAGTAATTAAAGGGGAGTATGTGGTTTGGCTCAGTATTAGAATCCCATACAAGAAATAGATGACAGGGAGAAGGAGATGGAGAGGGAGATGGAGGGAGAAAAGGAAAAAGTCAAGCCTGATTTGGTGCTCAGTTTATGAGGCTTCACACCCGAGTTAAATTTGGAGATGAAAATAGCCCAGGAAATGATGATTCTCCCTCTCCTCCTGGGCCACTAACGAGATGCTAATAGAACCATTTTTCACTTTAATTTTTTTGGTCCAGCCTAAAATGTTGGTTTAATTTAAGTTACAGACGGTTTATTATGGGCTGGGAGGTGGAGGTGGTTGTGGAGGTAGAGGAGAAGGGAGGAGGGCAGTGCACAGAGTTCTCTATGGATGCCAAGAACTAGCCAGGACACTGAGAAGATACTGTCCATCTGAACAATATGATGCAGCATTATTAAAGAGTAATGTAAAGGCAATTCTGCTAACGGTCATATTGCAAATGTCCTCTACTTTACATACAGGTTCCTGTATTTGGCATGCTATGTTGTGGTTTGATTGAGCCATAGTGCACATTTTGGGGTTTATTAGCTGTGATTTTTAATCTTTCCTCTCATCGAGTCTAATGATGTTTCGAGGCGGTCCCCACCAAGTGAAAACCTTCAGGTCATGAAGTTACATCAAAGTGATTTTAATGAGAAATACAGTATTGATGACTGTGACTTTATCTCCAGTGTGTGTGCTGTTCCCCCCACTGCTCCTCCAGGGTCTCCGTTCGCCCGGGCCAGCCTGAAGAGCAGCAAGAACGACAGTGCCTCCTACTTCCGGAGGAAAGAGAAGCGGCTCCGCTTCACCATCAGACGCCTGGTCAAGGCTCAGAGCTTCTACTGGACAGTGCTGTGTCTAGTGGGCCTCAACACACTGTGTGTGGCCATTGTCCATTATGACCAGCCTGAGTGGCTCACATATGCACTGTGTAAGTCCTGTCCAACGCCCGACCTGCATGGGAGGGAATACTATACCATTCGTTTTCCTACCATCACCAACAGAACGTATCATTCTATTTATTTGCTGTTTGTACAATAAAACCATCTACAGTGTATTAGTTGTATTGAATCAGAGCCTTCACATCAGACATCAGGGCAGTCATATTTGACTCAGTTAATTGATCTGTGTGTTTTACCTCTCCCTCGCAGATTTGGCAGAGTTTGTATTCCTGGGCTTGTTTCTGACTGAGATGTCCATGAAAATATATGGACTAGGACCCATGAGCTACTTCCATTCCTCTTTCAACTGTTTTGATTTTGGAGTAAGTGAGACTGCGATTCAATCAAACCCGCACTTCTGAAATGTTTTATTGTAGAGAATTACATTACATTGCATTGCTTTAGAGAGAACACACATTTTAAGTAATTCAATATACTCTCCTCCTAGGTGATTATAGGCAGTATTTTTGAGGTGATCTGGGCAGTTGTGAAACCTGGGGCCTCCTTTGGCATCAGCGTCCTGAGAGCTCTCCGTCTGCTTAGGATTTTCAAAGTCACTAAGTGAGTGATATTTACACCCTGATCCAAAACAGGACATGACTACCTATACATGACACGATGGTATAACACTATCACATCCTCATTCCTCATCTTCATCCTCCTGCCTTAGGTACTGGAACTCTCTGAGGAACCTGGTGGTCTCTCTACTCAACTCCATGAAGTCCATCATCAGCCTGCTCTTCCTCCTCTTCCTCTTCATTGTGGTGTTCGCCCTACTGGGCATGCAGCTCTTTGGGGGACTGTGAGTCAACCCCCATTGCCTCTCACAGTAACAGTCCTGTCCAGTACACACACTGTACTGTATTATTCATGGGTCCAGATTACCCATGGAGATACTCAACATTAGCCAGTTCCATTGTTGTTAGCATTACCATTTAGCTTGTGATATAATATAGATGTACGTTGTTTTTAAGGAAAGGAGAGGTTTTCATTCCTCCACTCTATGAATGATTGATCCCACTCAGAAACAGAGTAGATGGTCTCTGTGTTGTTCAACAGAGTAGATGGTCTCTGTGTTGTTCAACAGAGTATATGGTCTCTGTGTTGCTCAACAGAGTAGATGGTATCTGTGTTGTTGGTCTCTGTGTTGTTAAATGCAAAAACACTCCAGTCATGTGATCTAAATGCACAAGCTGCAGGCAGAGAGGACATTATAAACAAAATTCCTCCACTATGAATTATTGATCCCACTCAGAAACAGAGTAGATGGTCTGTGTTGTTCAACAGAGTAGATGGTCTCTGTGTTGTTCAACAGAGTAGATGGTGTCTGTGTTGTTCAACAGAGTAGATGGTCTCTGTGTTGCTCAACAGAGTAGATGGTCTCTGTGTTGTTGGTCTCTGTGTTGTTAATAATCCAGTTAAATGCAAAAACACTCCAGTCGTGTGATCTAAATGCACAAGGTGCAGGCAGAGAGGACATTCTAAACAAATAGATGCATGCAGTTGATCCAGAGAGAAATGACACTTGGCAGGCCTTGACATGTCAGCCTGGGAGTATGAACTACAGTAGAATCACTCCCTGACATAATGGAAGCAGGATCTCTGTGTTGTTCAGGCTCTTCTAGTGTAGTGTTCAGTCAGGATGTGTGCTGTTCATGCTCTTTCAGTGCAGTGTCCAGTAAGGATGTGTGTTGTTCAGGCTCTTCAATTGTGGTGTTCAGTCAGGATGTGTGTTCAGGCCCTTCCGGTGCAGTGCTCAGTCAGACTGTGTGTTGTTCAGGCCCTTTCAGTGCAGTGTTCAATCAAAGATATATTAAGGGCTAGTAGTTGTGAAGCTGCTTCACCCAGCCATATCCAGCCAAAGCCTGCCCACTTCAAGCTGTCCAGGAAATGTATGCTAGTCAAATCCACTTGAGCTGAGGTGTCCCATCCAGGTGCATGGATCATTATACAGTATGCACTCTTTGAATATAATTTATATTCAACGTCATGCCTGTCCTAGTCAAAATAAAATAAACACATTTAGTGGGATACATACAATGTTAGATGTACACTATACGGTAAGTCACTTGTTTTATATGTTGTATTTAGTATTTATCCATTGTATTTTGTATTTTATGATGATTCATTTGGACCTCACAGTAGAGTGGATTAAACAGGGTTTTATGCAGACCTGCATTGTCTTTTCTCTAGTTGGGAAACTAATGAGAGCTGTACTAATGAATGTCCGTCTACGCACCAAGGATTTCAGCAAGCAGAGAGAGGACACACTTCATTTGTTTTCTGCATAGTTCTCATTGTTGGAAGGTGTAATGAGGTCCCTGTAGATTCTCACAGAGCAATACAGAATATCAAGATTAGCAAAAGTTGTTGTGAAATCAGCCTTGACGGAGAGGTTTACGGGAGAAAACCAAGCTGTTAGAGCTCTGACAGTAGCAAGATGTACTATGCCTATTATGCTGGAGCAAGACAATAATAAACTATGACTAAGTGGGAGTCTTCTCATCTCCTCAATTTCCATGGTCACAAAAGTGATGAGGGATTATACAATCTAGAGTGTGAACCTGTGTGCTAGCAAGGCATAGCTGAAAGTTAACAACCTCTCTAATCTGTGTTTCTTCCTGCAGGTTTAATTTTGACGAGGAGACGCCAACAACAAACTTTGACACCTTTCCAGCAGCCATTCTCACAGTTTTCCAGGTGAAGTTTACAAAATGCTGAATTAAGTTGTGTTTTGTCTTCCTTTTGAAAATAATTTCATGTTATAACTACTGTAATACCATTAGCGAAATCCATGTAACGATGTGTTTGTGTGTCTCCCAGATTCTGACAGGAGAGGACTGGAATGCAGTGATGTATCATGGGATAGAGTCTCAGGGGGGCGTGCCGGGGGGAATGTTCTCCTCCATCTACTTCATCGTTCTCACCCTGTTTGGAAACTGTATCCTCTCTGGATGATCGACCTGCATTGATTAACCTTTACTACTGTCAAGCATCATGACTTCAGTGCCCCGTGATAGTAACATGATTTAGCGTTGATTTGTAAGCTATAAGAATATATATAGCGACATACTGTATAAGATCCAATGTAAATATTGATTGACTGATTGACTGTTTGAACTTTCCTGACCCCTCACTGATCAGACACTCTCCTCAATGTCTTCTTGGCCATCGCTGTTGACAACCTTGCAAACGCACAGGAGCTCACTAAGGTACAGTACATAGTACAGTCGGGCTTCCAGCCTCTGTATTCTCTGACTGGAACCTCCCCTCCCTGGAGTCCCTGAGAACCCTGGGTAGAGAGACAGAGACGTGTTCCCCTGATGATCCATCATGAAAGTCAGCTGTCTAATCAAATGCCACATGGAATTTCATCCCCGTATTTATGTTTGTTGAATTAGACAGTGAATATTCTTATTAGGATATATAGTGCCTTGCTTTATTGGTTCCTTAACCCTGTCGTCTGGGGCTATTCTGGGATGACTGATGTTTGTCCTGGTCAATAACTCAAGGCAATGAACCTCCCAACTGGTTGTAGGATTTGCGACCATTCATAATAATACACCTATGGGGAAGAGGCTTAAATATTTGCAGCCACTCCAGAGAGAGGTAATGGCCTTGATTTTTTGGGCTTGTGGCAGGGCTTATCATCATGTAGCCATTGATGGCCCACCTACCCACCCCTGGGTGGTCTCCGTTCCTCTCTGTGTTTGTGCTCATCAGGATGAGGAGGAGCAGGAGGTGGCCATCACCAAGAAGATGGCCCTCCAGAAGGCCAAGGAGGTCAAGGAGGTCAGCCCCATGTCGGCAGCGAGCATCTCCATCACAGCGTAAGTCATGATCAGGCGTTTGATACAGTTTCCCCCTTGCTACCCCCTTGCCCTCCCTCCCTCATACCCCCTCCCACAGATCAAACCTCCCTCACATCCCTTCCCACAGCCCTACCCCCCAGACACACCACACTGTCTCCCCCTCCTGAGAGATGCTATTTTACATTGAAGTATGTCTACATGGGATTGTATCTGTTGTTTGTGGCTCTATGTTGTATTATTCTGTCTGGACTACTAGTTTTCTGTTGATTGTGCTCTTCTGAGGAGTTACACATGATTTAACCCTTCTGTACCCAATGTCTGGTGTTTTGATAGATCATGTGTTCTCTCTTTGAGTCACTGAAGGGCTCAATGTTGTAAATGTGTGAGAAGCAGTTGATAAAAGGCTTAATGCCTGCTAAGACCTTGACTAGGGTCAGAGACACCTTAATACTCTGTCTCACATCCCCCACATAGGCTACACAGTATCCTGTACACAGGCCAACATGGAGCGGAGAGGGCAGTGCCAGCAAGGTAATTTCCTCAACAATGAGCACAGATTGTGCATGCAACGCTGTACATTCAGAAAACATGGTTCTGGTAACAATGTGACCTCTGGTGTATACCTTTGTTGGACCCCTTACCACTAATCTCTTTCGAGTGACAGGCACTTAACATAAAATGTAATTTGAGCTAGCTAAATAGATAGTCCACATGAGATTTGGAGCATATCAGTCATTGTATGGGCACTGGATCCTTGTATTGCCATTCACCTGTATGTACTGTATAACAACTGTAATTAGTGTATTCATAGTCGATGGTAGCAGGATATGTTATTCTGTCATTGTTTTAAATGTTTTGTCTTAAATGTTTCAAAGCACTGTTTTATCTTGTTATTTAAAAATTGTAACGTAGCCATTGGTTTGTAGAATCTTCTTATTAATATAGGCTTTGAGAATTTTTTCCTCCACATTTCCTCAAAGGAAATGTAATTTATAATTGGCACCTATAAATTGGTCTCTGCAATGCAAACTATTTTCATTATTTGTCTTGGAGGTTGAAAGTCTCAAAGCTGCTACTCTCATTCCTTTGTTTACTCATTCTGTTGGTCTTAAACTGAGACTCCCATTGAGTTGACGTGTAGTGGGAGAGTCAAGGACAGACAGACGGATGGATGGACAGAGGGTGCCCTGTCCTCCTTCTGACCCTGACCTCTCCCCCTCTTTTGTTCTCCCTCCCCCATCTTTTGTTTTTTGCATGTGCAGTTTTGTAAAGCAAAGTCAAGGTGCACTCTCTAGCAGCTCGTCCATCTGCAGCGTTAATTCACTGTGAGTGTTTACTCTCCGTTCCACTTTACTCCATCACCCTCCTCCTCATCCCTAGCCTGGGTCTTTTCTCCATCACCCTCCTCCTCATCCCTAGCCTGGGTCCTATACTGTATGTACAGTAGCCAAATCTTCTGCACCACCAGGCGCCCTCACCTCCCCTCCCTCCGTCTCCCCTTTGACTCCCAACCGTTTCTCCTGAGCATTGAGTCATACCATTGTGAGTTTTCCACTGTGTTGAATTGTAGCAGATTCATGTGGCAGCCTTTTTTCAGTAACAGGTATTATGAGATTGGTATGCTCATTCTGTATGTACATAATGTTATGCACCTCTTCATATTCGTTGTAATTGATACTGTACATCTGCACTTGTTGTAGTGACTGAACTCTCCTCAGGACCTCCCTCTCATATTTTTACCTCTTCATCTCCGACTGAGATTATCTCCCTCTCTCACTTCGCTATACTGTGTCAGTGTGTACTCAGAGGTAGTCTGAGCAGACACAGTATCCTGGGGCGGTGTTGTGCTGATGCGCTGGCTCGGCTGGGTTGGGTTGGGCTGGGCTGGGCTGGGTTGGGCTGGGCTGGGTCGGGCTGGGGTTGGGCTGGGTTGAGCTGGGTTGGGCTGGGTTGGGCTGGGTTGGGCTGGCTGGCTGGGCTGGGTTGGGCTGGGTTGAGCTGGGTTGGGCTGGGTTGGGCTGGGTTGGGCTGGCTGGCTGGGCTGGGTTGAGCTGGGTTGGGCTGGGTTGGGCTGGGTTGGGCTGGCTGGCTGGGCTGGGTTGGGCTGGGTTGAGCTGGGTTGAGTTGGGTTGAGCTGGGTTGAGCTGGGTTGGGTTGGGCTGGGTTGAGCTGGGTTGGGTTGGGTTGGGCTGGGCTGGCAGGCTCGTGCTGTGTCGAGCAGACTGAGAGACGCTCTTCCTCTCTGTCCTAACGACCCACAGCAAAGCCACTAGAGAGTGTCGCTGGCACTCAGTGAGTCAGAAGTTCTAGCTGAGCAGCTCTGTAAAGGCCACCATGTACCTTACGACCGTATGCCACAGCCAGGCAGATGGAGAGGCAAAACACGAGCGCACACACACACCCTGCCTATAACGTCAGACACCTAAAATCACTCAAAGACCCTTTGTTTGGCTGAAGTGCCATGTCCCTCTTTTATATTAGGGACTTGTTTTTCTCATTACTAGACAGTAAGGATAATGTAACTTGGGGGTAGGATTGTTTAAGATAAAATGAAGTACTAAGTCTACTTACTGCAGTGCAATACCAACGTCTGGGTGTCGTTCCTTTGTCTTGTTTATTTTCAGTTCTACTCTCAGTGAAGTAAGTTATTTTGTCTCCCCATGTTTCTCCTCTGTCAGTCTTTCTAAGCTCTTGTTTCCCCCTGTGTCTTTGTTTCCAATGTCTCCTAGCCTGTTTATGTCACTTTTAGGGAGCCTCTTAGTCTGTCCCTTGTTTGTTTCAATGTGCTCCTTCATGTGTTGTAGGAGTTATGTCTGCTCCCCAGTCCATCACTACTTGAGGTAAACTAACTTACTGTACGGTAGCCATGACAATCTATTTGTGTAACATAACATAACTTCCTGGTGATGACCATCATCATCATGTTTACATTATTGAAGCAGGATGGAATAAACATCTTGTCCTGCTTCTTTACTTGGCCCTACATTAGCTTGATCATTTCCTCCTTATAGTGTACCATACACTATACTGTAAATTCACTCAAATAATCCAGTGGCACCTCTCCATTCACCCCTAACCAGATACCTCAGTGTAGAGCTATACATGTGTAATGTAAGTAGTGGAGGGCAGATTGGAGCTGGGGTTGAACATTACCACAGTGCTAGCATGAGTAGATATGATAGTCGTTTTCATGCCGTTGTACTGTATGAAAGTTAATTGTGACTTCTACACAGTAAAGGAAGTCATGTTGGATGTATCCATATACGTGTGTTCTATATGGCATAGGTAGACTACTGATTTACAATGCATGTGTTCAACCATTTCAAAGACGTTGACAGGGCAAGTCAACTGAAGCATGTCATAGCATGGTCTTGGTCTACCATGCTTGGCCTGTCCATAAAGTCTCTCTTTTTACGTGTGGTAATGGAGAGGGACTGGACTGTTTCGCTGTGAAGAAACCTCCATTGCACTTCCATACTGTATGCCATTCAGCATGCAGGGGTTTATGCCTTATGATATGTAATGTATTCCAGAATGCTTCTCTTCAAATACATTAAATACATATCGCTCACGCAGTAAAGGACATGTTCAATGTACCCTAATAAAGGTGAACTGCCCTGTCTGTCCACCTGCAGTAAGGAGCAGCAGAAGTCTCTGAAGATGATGTCAGTGTGGGAGCAGAGAACCACTCAGCTGAGGAGACACAACCTGCGGGCCAGCAGTGAGGCCCTGTACAGCGAGCTGGACCCTGAGGAGAGGCTTCGTATGTCCTCCGCCCTGCACATCCGCCCTGACATGAAGACCCACCTGGACCGGCCCCTGGTGGTGGAGCCCCATGACGGCCCCGGCCCCATGGGCCAACACAAGCCCCGGACCCCTGAGGAGACAGATACCCCTGGGGACCCGGCCGGCCCCCAGCCACGCAGGCACCACCGCCACCGGGACAGGGAGAGACCCATCGACGAGGCCAATGAGAATGGAGATCCAAGCAAAGAGGGTAGGCACCATGTCCACCACAGTCGCAGCAAGGACCCAGACGGCACCCGGGGCAAGGAGGGGAAGAGTGAGCGGTCGCGCAGCCAAGAGGGGGGCAGGAGGCACCACCACCAGACCTTAGTGGACGAGGCAGGAGGAGGGGGAACGGGGACGGGGGAGAGAGAGCATCGCCACCACCACTCCCACAGACAGGCCAGAGAGGGTAACGGCACTGTCAACAGCGGAGGCAAGGGGGAGCGCAGGTCACGCCACAAAGATGGCCGCTCGGGAGAGAGGTGCTCCAGGGGAGAGAACGGGGCCAATGGGGAGAGGAGGAGACACAAGACCCACAGCTCCAGGGGCCAGTCCACACTGGAGGGAGAGGAGCACAGTGAGAGGGAGAGGGGGAAGGGCCACAGGTAAGACTGGCTCTGTTCTTGGATGTCTTTGTTACTTCTCAGATGACTTCTACATGACTGCAAATCTATAGGATACATCATTTTGCACTGATGAAAGCATATCATACGAGTAGGTACCAGAGATCAATGACTTGTGCTCTATGGTAATTTGATCTGTTTCCCAGGGACAGATATGTGGAGTCTGAGGGAGACTCCCTAGCCATCAGCCCCCAGCAGGACCCTGGAGATCAGAGGTGGGGCACAGAGGGACCTGAAGACTCAGACAATCAGAGGAACGTCAGACGGACTGGACAGACGGCCGTCAACATCCCCCCTGTCACTATCACCCCCCCTCCCGGGGAGACCACCCTTATCCCCAGTCAGTAACAACCTTCACACTAACCCTTATCCCCAGTCAGTACCAACATTAACACTAACCCTTATCCCCAGTCAGTACCAACATTAACACTTATCTCCAGTCAGTACCAACATTAACCCTAACCCTTATCCCCAATCAGTACCAACATTAACACTAACCCCTATTCCCAGTCAGTACCAACCTCAACACAACCCCCTATCCCCAGTCAGTACCAACCTTAGCACTAACCCTTATCCCAAGTCAGTACCAACCTTAACACTAACCCTTATCCCCAGTCAGTACCAATCTTAACACTAACCCTTATCCCCAGTCAGTACCAACCTTAGCACTAACCCTTATCCCCAGTCAGTACCAACCTTAACACTAACCCTTATCCCCAGTCAGTACCAACCTTAACACTAACCCTTATCCCTAGTCAGTACCAACCTTAACACTAACCCTTAACCCCAGTCAGTACCAACCTTCACACTAACCCTTATCCCCAGTCAGTACCAACATTAACACTAACCCTTATCCCCAGTCAGTACCAACATTAACACTTATCTCCAGTCAGTACCAACATTAACCCTAACCCTTATCCCCAATCAGTACCAACATTAACACTAACCCCTATTCCCAGTCAGTACCAACCTCAACACAACCCCTTATCCCCAGTCAGTACCAACCTTAACACTAACCCTTATCCCTAGTCAGTACCAACCTTAACACTAACCCTTAACCCCAGTCAGTACCAACCTTCACACTAACCCTTATCCCCAGTCAGTACCAACATTAACACTAACCCTTATCCCCAGTCAGTACCAACCTTAACACTAACCCTTATCCCCAGTCAGTACTGCAAACCTATTTGCCCTCTAATACTGTTTCTTCAGTGTTCTTGTGTTTCTGAGGTGTATCTAAACCTTTGTGTCTGTGTCCCAGTGAACAGTATAGACCGTGAGACCATGCCTATGAATGACGAGAAGAAAACCCTGGAGGAGCGGACTCAGAGTGGACCCAGACCCATCCTGCCTTACAGCTCCATGTTTGTGTTTGGCCAGACCAACGTGTGAGTGGCCCGCATGGACAGCTCTACACTACACCACTCTACACTACACCACTCTACACTACACCACTCTATGCTACACCACTCTACACTACACCACTCTATGCTACACCACTCTACACTACTCCACTCTACACTACACCACTCTATGCTACACCACTCTACACTACACCACTCTACACTACACCACTCTATGCTACACCACTCTACACTACACCACTCTATGCTACACCACTCTACACTACTCCACTCTATGCTACACCACTCTACACTACTCCACTCTATGCTACACCACTCACACCATTCACACCACAAACACTCTGCCTTCCATGTAGCAAGTCCCTGCATGTTAACATTGTCATATGGCCCCACATTTAACTCCTTTAGCGAAGCTGTTAAAATGTTAGTGCATGTCTTAAAGGCAATCGAGTAGCACTTTCCTTTAAGTCCACACAATCACTCAAATATCCATCTTCGTAGATTGCTTATAAACCTTTGCATTAACCTACAATCAACTAACAGAAAACAAAATCAGCAGCCAGCCAGCCACTGTTATAGCCCGTCTATATGCAGCCAGCCATTACTAGGAACAGTGTCTATGTGTGATGTCTCTCAGGTGAGCTATATATGGACTATATGACCTCTCTCTCTCTCTCTCTCTCTCTCTCTCTCTCTCTCTCTCTCTCTCTCTCTCTCTCTCTCTCTCTCTCTCTCTCTCTCTCTCTCTCTCCAGGGTGCGGCGTCTGTGTCATTACATTGTGAGCCTGCGGTACTTTGAGATGTGTATCCTGGTAGTGATATCCATGAGTAGCATTGCATTGGCTGCAGAGGACCCTGTCCAGGCCAACGCTCCACGCAACAATGTGAGTCTACGCATGCGCACACACACACACACACACACACACAGGCAGGCAGACATGCCAAACACAAACACACACGCTCAGGCAGAAATGCCAGGCACACAGGCACGTGTACACACACACAACACACACTCACGTACGTGTAGACACACAAACACACACACACAGGCAGGCAGACATGCCAGACACACACAACCTGAAATGGTCCATCCACACAGACAGTGTGGTGAAGAAGGCACAACAGTGCCAAATTCGGCTTGGCCCAAAAGACCCTCACAAACATCTACAGATGCACCATTCAGAGCATCCTGTCAGGCTGTATCTCCGCCTGGTACGGCAATTGCACCGTCTGCAACCGCAGGGCTCTCCAGAGGGTGGTGCGGTCATCCCAACACATCACAGAGGGCACACTGCCTGCCCTCCAGGACATCTACAGCACCCGGTGTCACAGGAAGGCCAAGAAGATCATTAAGCCATGACCTGTTCACCCCGCTACCATATAGAAGGTGGAGACAGTACATGTGCATCAAAGCTGGGACCGAGAGATTTAAAAAACAGCTTCTATAGAGGCCATCAGACTGTTAAATAGTCACCACTAGCCGGCCTCCGCCCAGTACCCTGCCCTGAACTTAGTCACTGTTACTAGCCGGCTACCACCCAATACTCTAACCTGCACCTTAAGAGTGTGCTGCCCTATGTACATAGTCATTGAATACTGGTCACTTTAATTAAGCAATAAGTCACAAGAGGCAGTGCTGTATCATGAACACAGTCACAGGTAAATGGCGTTGTTAGGCCCAATGCGATAGTGGAGGGCCAGTCACCCATTTACTTGTGACTGTATTCATGGTACATCACTGCCTTGGGTGCCTTATTGCTTTTATAAAACTGTTACCAACATACTAAAATAACAGTGAATTACATATTTTCATTAAAACATTTATTTTGATAAGTCAATTCATACAATTTCATTCATCCACCTGAAGATATAGTCCGGACAGAAATCTGGTTGTTAGTTATTTTGGTCATGTTTCTACAGACTCGACCCAGTCCTTAATTATTTTTGCAAAGTTGCTATGCAAAAGCACTGGTCTTCCATTCTAAACGAAATGGTTGCTATGCAGGCTTCTTGTCACTTGATAGCTAGCTAGCCAGCCAGCCAACTTAAGCTAACTCAGTCACGTCAAACATTGAACCTGGAATGACAGTACACTAGCTGCATTTTCATTTGAGCTTTTTTTCAATTGGCATTTACTTGGATATGTCCATGATAATGATGTGGCTCAGACGAGGTTGTCTACTCTATGGTACTACAGAGATCGAAATTCAAAAGTGAAACATTTTTTCCTAGGTAGGACAGGCATACAGCGAGGCTTATATTAACCCCCGCTGTACCAAACTAAATACTAGTCTGGAAGCAAAGGGAAATAATGTGCAAGTTGAGATAAATACAAGAGATGATTCAGACAGCAACCTGAACATGATATTCTTATGGATGCGCAATTGTAATTTTCAGATGGAACTGTTAGCAGGCATAGGTGTTTCTCTGATGGCCAATACAGCACGGCTTAGAACGCTGCTCTTCCAATCAGCATCCAGGATCCAAACAACCAGTTTTATAATTAAGTGATAATGCCAGAGAAGCCAGTGTTTGGAGGATATATTGGCATGGGTGTGTTCGTCTCGGGCCGGCAAACCGTGCCAATATATCCTCCAAATACCCGCTTCGAGGGCATTATCACTTTTATACAACGGGTTACCAATATATTCAAATAATGATTGACATATTTTCATGCTGATTCATGATTTTGACTGGCTGAGAAAAGCTGCCATCCTGTCTGTCTTGTCCCGACTCCCGACACGTTCATTACCATAGGACAGCTGGAGATCGAATTTCAATATTGAAACAATGTTGCAAATGTCAGAGAGACAGGCAGCAAGGTTATTACAAATCTCTGCTGTTGAAAACCAAATGGGAGATAATGTCTAGATGCTTTTTACAGTGTAGATCTTGTACACTGCTCAAAAAAATAAAGGGAACACTTAAACAACACAATGTAACTCCAAGTCAATCACACTTCTGTGAAATCAAACTGTCCACTTAGGAAGCAACACTGATTGACAATACATTTCACATGCTGTTGTGCAAATGGAATAGACAACAGGTGGAAATTATAGGCAATAAGCAAGACACCCCCAATAAAGGACTGGTTTTGCAGGTGGTGACCACAGACCACTTCTCAGTTCCTATGCTTCCTGGCTGATGTTTTGGTCACTTTTGAATGCTGGCGGTGCTTTCACTCTAGTGGTAGCATGAGACGGAGTCTACAACCCACACAAGTGGCTCAGGTAGTGCAGCTCATCCAGGATGGCACATCAATGCGAGCTGTGGCAAGAAGGTTTGCTGTGTCTGTCAGCGTAGTGTCCAGAGCATGGAGGCGCTACAAGGAGACAGGCCAGTACATCAGGAGACGTGGAGGAGGCCGTAGGAGGGCAACAACCCAGCAGCAAGACTGCTACCTCCGCCTTTGTGCAAGGAGGAGCAGGAGGAGCACTGCCAGAGCCCTGCAAAATGACCTCCAGCAGGCCACAAATGTGCACGTGTCTGCTCAAACGGTCAGAAACAGACTCCATGAGGGTGGTATGAGGGCCCGACGTCCACAGGTGGGGGTTGTGCTTACAGCCCAACACCGTGCAGGACGTTTGGCATTTGCCAGAGAACACCAATATTGGCAAATTCGCCACTGGCGCCCTGTGCTCTTCACAGATGAAAGCAGGTTCACACTGAGCACGTGACAGACGTGACAGAGTCTGGAGACGCCGTGGAGAACGTTCTGCTGCCTGCAACATCCTCCAGCATGACCGGTTTGGCAGTGGGTCAGTCATGGTGTGGTGTGGCATTTCTTTGGGGGGCTGCACAGCCCTCCATGTGCTCGCCAGAGGTAGCCTGACTGCCATTAGGTACCGAGATGAGATCCTCAGACCCCTTGTGAGACCATATGCTGGTGCGGTTGGCCCTGGGTTCCTCCTAATGCAAGACAATGCTAGACCTCATGTGGCTGGAGTGTGTCAGCAGTTCCTGCAAGAGGAAGGCATTGATGCTATGGACTGGCCCGCCCGTTCCCCAGACCTGAATCCAATTGAGCACATCTGGGACATCATGTCTCGCTCCATCCACCAACTCCACGTTGCACCACAGACTGTCCAGGAGTTGGCGGATGCTTTAGTCCAGGTCTGTGAGGAGATCCCTCAGGAGACCATCCGCCACCTCATCAGGAGCATGCCCAGGCATTGTAGGGAGGTCATACAGGCACGTGGAGGCCACACACACTACTGAGCCTCATTTTGACTTGTTTTAAGGACATTACATCAAAGTTGGATCAGCCTGTAGTGTGGTTTTCCACTTTGATTTTGAGGGTGACTCCAAATCCAGACCTCCATCGGTTGATACATTTGATTTCCATTGATAATTTTTGTGTGATTTTGTTGTCAGCACATTCAACTATGTAAAGAAAAAAGTATTTAATAAGATTATTTCATTCATTCAGATCTAGGATATGTTATTTTAGTGTTCCCTTTATTTTTTTGAGCAGTGTATATAAATTGCCTGGCTGAGCTGATGAGACAGTGGATTGAGCAGTCAGATGGAACAGAGTAAATAGGCATTTCAACATCATAGATTTAGCCGGTGGCAATTTGTGGATTATAAACTGGGTGGTTCGAGCCCTGAATGCTAATTGGCTGACAGCCATGGTATATCAGACCGTATACCACAGGTATGACAAAACATTTATTTTTACTGCTCTAATTACGTTGGTAACCAGTTTATAATAGCAATAAGGCACCTCTGGGGTTTGTGTTATATGGCCAATATACCACGGCTAAGGGCTGTATCCAGGCACTCCACGTTATGTCGTACCCAAGAACAGCCCTTAGCCGTGGTATATTTGGCCATATACCACACCCCCTCGTGCCTTATTGCTTAAATAGACACCGTCTGGAATGCAGTTTTAATCAATCAGTATCCAGGATTAGACCCACACGTTGTATAATAGTGTTTACATACTGTTTTACCCGCTTCATATGTATATACTGTATTCTAGTCAACGCTCATCCTATATAACTACTGCTGTACACACCTTTTCTATTCATATACTGTCCATACTGTCTATACATACCATCATATATATATATATATATATATATATATATATATATATATATATATATATATATATATATATATACAGTGGGGAGAACAAGTATTTGATACACTGCCGATTTTGCAGGTTTTCCTACTTACAAAGCATGTAGAGGTCTGTAATTTTTATCATAGGTACACTTCAACTGTGAGAGACGTAATCTAAAACAAAAATCCAGAAAATCACATTGTATGATTTTTAAGTAATCAATTTGCATTTTATTGCATGACATAAGTATTTGATCACCTACCAACCAGTAAGAATTTCGGCTCTCACAGACCTGTTAGTTTTTCTTTAAGAAGCCCTCCTGTTCTCCACTCATTACCTGTATTAACTGCACCTGTTAGAACTCGTTACCTGTATAAAAGACACCTGTCCACACACTCAATCAAACAGACTCCAACCTCTCCACAATGGCCAGAAAATCACATTGTATTATTTTTAAGTAATTAATTTGCATTTTATTGCATGACATAAGTATTTAATACATCAGAAAAGCAGAACTTAATATTTGGTACAGAAATCTTTGTTTGCAATTACAGAGATCATAAGTTTCCTGTAGGTCTTGACCAGGTTTGCACACACTGCAGCAGGGATTTTGGCCCACTCCTCCATACAGACCTTCTCCAGATCCTTCAGGTTTCGGGGCTGTCGCTGGGCAATACGGACTTTCAGCTCCCTCCAAAGATTTTCTATCGGGTTCAGGTTTGGAGACTGGCTAGGCCACTCCAGGACCTTGAGATGCTTCTTACGGAGCCACTCCTTAGTTGCCCTGGCTGTGTGTTTCGGGTCGTTGTCATGCTGGAAGACCCAGCCACGACCCATCTTCAATGCTCTTACTGAGGGAAGGAGGTTGTTGGCCAAGATCTCGCGATACATGGCCCCATCCATCCTCCCCTCAATACGGTGCAGTCGTCCTGTCCCCTTTGCAGAAAAGCATCCCCAAAGAATTATGTTTCCACCTCCATGCTTCACGGTTGGGATGGTGTTCTTGGGGTTGTACTCATCCTTCTTCTTCCTCCAAACACGGCGAGTGGAGTTTAGACCAAAAAGCTATATTTTTGTCTCATCAGACCACATGACCTTCTCCCATTCCTCCTCTGGATCATCCAGATGGTCATTGGCAAACTTCAGACGGGCCTGGACATACGCTGGCTTGAGCAGGGGGACCTTGCGTGCGCTGCAGGATTTTAATCCATGACGGCGTAGTGTGTTACTAATGGTTTTCTTTGAGACTGTGGTCCCAGCTCTCTTCAGGTCATTGACCAGGTCCTGCCGTGTAGTTCTGGGCTGATCCCTCACCTTCCTCATGATCATTGATGCCCCACGAGGTGAGATCTTGCATGGAGCCCCAGACCGAGGGTGATTGACCGTCATCTTGAACTTCTTCCATTTTCTAATAATTGCGCCAACAGTTGTTGCCTTCTCACCAAGCTGCTTGCCTATTGTCCTGTAGCCCATCCCAGCCTTGTGCAGGTCTACAATTGTATCCCTGATGTCCTTACACAGCTCTCTGGTCTTGGCCATTGTGGAGAGGTTGGAGTCTGTTTGATTGAGTGTGTGGACAGGTGTCTTTTATACAGGTAACGAGTTCTAACAGGTGCAGTTAATACAGGTAATGAGTGGAGAACAGGAGGGCTTCTTAAAGAAAAACTAACAGGTCTGTGAGAGCCGAAATTCTTACTGGTTGGTAGGTGATCAAATACTTATGTCATGCAATAAAATGCAAATTGATTACTTAAAAATCATACAATGTGATTTTCTGGATTTTTGTTTTAGATTCCGTCTCTCACAGTTGAAGTGTACCTATGATAAAAATTACAGACCTCTACATGCTTTGTAAGTAGGAAAACCTGCAAAATCGGCAGTGTATCAAATACTTGTTCTCCCCACTGTATATATTTATATTCCGGACATTGACATTGCTCTTTCTGATATTTCTTCATTTCTTTCTTTGAATTTTTTGGATTTGTGTGTATTGTTTTGTATTGTTAGGTATTACTGCACTGTTGGAGCTAGAAACATAAGCATTTTGCTGCACCTGTGATAACATCTGCAAAATATGTGTACACGACCAATACGATTTTATTTTATTTGATGCAGTTAGACATTTAAAAAACAACAACAGGTGTGACAACAAAGTTCATCCAAATATATCTGTAAGCAAGGAGAAGATCAGGCAGCTGTTCAAATGAGCTAGAGGAATAATTAGTTTTGCATTGCCACTTGGCTGTGTTTTTCTCTTGCACTGACTCTCTCCTGTTCAGGTGCTCAAGTATCTGGACTACGTCTTTACGGGAGTTTTCACATTTGAGATGGTGATTAAGGTAAGAGCTTGGATAGGCACATGTCATGAAATTAAATTTTTACTACATACTAAATGACTGAACAAAAATAACATGTTTTCAGATCCTTTTTGGCAGCTGTCTTAGATTTCCACAATATTTGTCTAGAATGTATTTCTTTGTTTTTCATTCCGTTACTCCTATAGTTGTATTGGCCTCATGCCACATCCTGTGTTTATTGAAATGCATGACTCAATGAGAGCACTTTCATTGAATACTTAGTATGACTATAGGAGGTTGCCCCACTGTTATGATGAGTTTCTCGGGTGTTCAAAGAATCAAGGATGCAAGGATATACTGAGACACTTTGTAAAAAGTTCATGCAATTATTTAATGATCGGTACCGGGTTCGTGACAACAATGACCAGAGCTTTGCCCTTGATGCTACGAACTAACTTGAACAAAGAAAACACTCTATCTTATATAGCCTTTATTACCCTCCTCCTGGCATACATCTGGCAAGTCTCCATGGGCACTCCCTGTCTTTGATGTTCATCACTCTTTACCCCAAGTCACTATCCTAAACATCACTCATGCTATCCTAAACATCAGTAATCTACTTTGACATAATGGAATGTAGACTTCATGGCCCCAAACCACTCATCTCTTAACTCTTCCTCTGTCCTCACAATACTATGACATGACATCATTACACCCACCCTCAGTGTACTGTAGCCATCTAACCCTGCTCTCTGATTGGTCCAGATGGTTGACCTGGGCCTCCTGCTCCATCCTGGTTCTTACTTCAGAGATCTCTGGAACATTCTGGACTTCATTGTGGTCAGTGGAGCACTGGTGGCATTTGCATTTTCGTAAGTTGTATATTTTCTTAGTAACATTTATCAATTCATAAAATAAAATAATTGCACAAGGCAAATTTGACAAAATAAACTGATAAACTGCACTTTCCCAGACACTGTGGTTGTAAAATATGTAGACATACTCTGCCTGCTTTTCTCTTTCGAATTTACATGCACTATAATTCATCTGTCATTTCCCATCGGTGAAATTCCTCAGAATCAAATTCCTTGTATCAATACAATATAATATGTCCTCCTGAATGATGATGTCTGCTACCTTTACTGCAGCAATATTGTATTCATTATTGGCTCAGTCTTTGGGACAAGTTTTTGGGCCAACTGTTTTTGTTGTGATTATTTGTGAGAATGAGAATATGGCAATTCAGGTGAAACACTGTGATTAGTCCGGGAGAGAGAGAGAGTCTCCATGGGTTTAGGGTAATTATCCTGTACACCTGGTAATGCTGCTGCTGCCAGAATCTACCATTAGTTCCATAACAACACAATGGGAAAATAGGAATGCATAATGTCATGTTCATTTATTTGCTGATAGAGCAACCAGTTGGGGTGTTTTGCAGTAAGGATTGTAATTGCATTAACCTCCACAAAATGCTCTATTTCATGCTGTGTGTGTGTGAAGTGTGCAATGTGTGTGTGTGTACGCAAGTGTTATGTGCGCTGTTGACTCAAAGTTCCTCTTCTGTTTCCTTGTGGCTTGGATCTCTTGAAGGAGCTTCATGGGGTAATGCTTTCTCTCTCTCTCTCTCTGCCTCTCTCTCTCTCTCTCTCTCTCTCTCTCTCTCTCTCTCTCTCTCTCTCTCTCTCTCTCTCCTCTCTCTCTCTCTCTCTCTCTCTCATCTTGCCTGTCTCTGTTTGTGTGAGCTATGCTCAGTCCATAGGCCCGTTTTGTTCTGGGACACACTCATCTCTCTCTCTTCTCTTCATCTTTTCATAGTCCACTTGTCTTCTCTCACATTTATCTGCTTGACCATAGATCCTCTGTCCTGTTCCATGTTCCCCTCCGCTATAGGGGGCATGTCACCTCAGTGTGACTACATATTCACCAGGACCACACTAGACCAATACATCTGTTGCTGTGATGAGAATTATCCTACTACTCTATATCAGCTAATGTTATGATTACAAATGGACCTACTCACCAAACACATTTAATTAAGTGGCTACTACTCATACAAGGTAGTAAGAAAGATCACCACTTTAGAGTGTGTTTAAACTGTTATGGTGTCATCAAGGTATTGTTGACTGCTTACTGACCATACAGTACCAACCTACATTCCCACTTTGTTTGTTTACAGCACTGCCTCTGGTATCCATCACTCTCCCCTAGCCACTCTAACAGACAGCCAGCCGTGTTGATGTTGATGGATAGACATTATTCTCCCTGCATGTCCCGGGCCTCATTCTGCCTGTCATGTCAATGTGATCCACTGCCTCATTGGGAATGAACCGTACCGCCACCGTGATGTGTCATCTACACACTGTTTGTGTAGTGTGCTTCCTTGAATCTCTCAACAACAACAACGTGTCATCGTTCCATCTTCCTTCAGACGTTCCACATCTGTCAGATGTCCTCTGTCTGTTGGATATGTCTGCTAGTACACAAGAAACACACTCTTACATGCGCAACCAAAACAAGTGTCAGGAGTGTCTTTTTGGCAAACACAACTAGATTTCTTGTCTGTTTCATGAACATTGCCTTGAAGAAATGAAAGCCATTTTGCAACCCAATCATCCTTGATGAAGTGTTATTAGGGCCTATATTGCCATGTGGCGTAGGGCCTTTTCTAGTCGGATCAGTTCCTCTCACTTTCACAATAACATTTAACTGTCTGTCACTAACAGAATAGTACAGTAAATGACAAACATCTCAATTTCATACATTATAGGCCTATTCCCATTCCCATTCACCATATTGTATTGTTTAGATTGTACCTGTTTATGCAGACATCCATATTTTCTGTGTGGGAAGACGTCATAATTGTGCTCTTTATCTTGTGTTTTCCCCCATCAGACCGCCACAAGGTGTGCCCAGGTGGGGAACCCCCTCTCCCCTCTTACCCCTCTACCCCTCTTTCTTCTGCTTAGGCCAGGATCATGTCTCTAAACCTGTATGAGTAAAGGGTTTCCTTTACAGACCGGGAGCCTTTGCCATGTCACTCTGATAGCCTTCAATAGAAACCTCTCTCTCTTTCTGGGAGTTCACTCTCCAATCTTACTGTAAATGGAGGCTCAAGTAAAATGTGTTCATTATTGATGATTGGCCCAAATCCCAGCATCAGCACTGACTATGCTGGCCATTCTAATCATTATGTAGACTTTTTGTATTTATTTTCAATCTTCTATGCCCAAGTCAAATACTCAGTACATATACATTAAAACATAATACATTCTTGTTCCACACGGACAGGGAGAGAACTACAGATGTAGGATCTTAATTTGATGACCCTGTTGCAGGAGAACTTTCCTGCAATGCAGGACATTTAGAACTTGTAGTGTATTTGAGGTTTAAAAAGGCTTCTGAAGTTTGTAATTTCCCCTTTCAAATTTCAGACCTGATTTTCCCTAATGAAAAATGTATCAACCCCTACAAAAATGTCCATTAATTATAATCCACATAATAATTCACATTTCCTGTTGCTGCAGGATTATTTTCCTGCTATAGCAAAATGGCTCAAATTAAGATCCTACATGTGTAGGACTACCATTAGAGTAGTGATAAAAATAGCTGGTGCTGAGACAGGACATGGTGGTTATTTTGGATGACAGTTTTTGTTCTCCTTCCAGGGAGATGACATATGGTACACATCAGCCACCTGTACCTGAGAATGATGTCCTCATTACGTATTTAACCACTGTCTTGGCGTCTCATAGCTCTGTCACCATCCAGCCCCTGTAGAAAACTCCAAACGCTCGCAATTAAACTCCCAAGTCACATGTTTTTCTCCAAGCTGGTCAAGCGTTCTTTGAAGGCTATCAGAATGTCATGTGTGGTTTTACATGTGTGAGTGTTTTGTGATCTCAAACCATGGGCTCTACTTACTGTGAAAAAAGCATGCTGGACTAATGCGCATCAGAGCATGAACGTTGCATGCTGCTGTGGTAGAGTCGAGTTATACTGGAAGCTCTGGGAGGGAGGAACCACACCATCATATCACATGGCCATGCTGTGTTGGGAATACCAGTCAGAGTTACAAGATGGCGTTTATTCCCACTTGGATGGGAAGTGGTGTGTGTGTGTGTGTGTGTGTGTGTGTGTGTGTGTGTGTGTGTGTGTGTGTGTGTGTGTGTGATGATAGCAGACAGAGGGAGGAGGCAGGGTAGAGTAGGGGAAGATGGAGTGTGTTGGCAGATTTGTTTCTCTCTGTTGTTGCCATTTGCCTCCTCGTGGACTGTCTTGTTGGTGCCATGTTAGTCATCTTCACCAGAAGCTGAGATGTTTACAAGTCAATCTTTATCTATAAGTTGATGAGAAAATTAGTGACTGCTGTGTAGGATTTACTTGAACAACAGAGGAGTTAACGTTGCATTTAAGAGAAGTCTTTCCAGAATAGGTCTGAATAGGTCTATTTATATCACATTTATTAATGTGAAGTATCACATAGTATCTTTGACTGGTTATTTATGTGTTGCTGACTGTTAATTGGAGTCATTCAAATCCCTCCATGTTTCACCAATGGGATGCTTTACCTTAAATACATTACCATTTTGTGTACTGTACCATACATTGGTAAATTATTTTACATTTTATATAACATGCAATATTTTGTATCACTTCGTTGTATTTCATTTGGAGATGCCTGCACTTTTATTGCTATTCTCACAGCTCCCCAAGGTGTTGATTCAGCAAGAGCTCTTCTGAGTCTGTAGGGAACATTAATGTACATGGAGACTTAATGGGATTCTGCTCAGACTTCTTGACATGTTGGTTCAAAAGATTTTCTGTTCTTCCGTCCATTGTATCTGAGAAAGTCTAATAAATCACTTGTTCCTGTATTTCCCCATGAGTCATAATACTCTACACTGACATCCTTTCATCTTTTCCCTCAGTCATCTGTCAGTCTCACCATCTCATTTTAACGACTTTGTGTATGAAAACAGCATTGGTTCATTTAAAAGAAACATCACCGTTTATTTTGTACCACTGGTTATGGGTTCTTCTGCAGAAACCTGATACACAGTCTATAGTGCGAGCGTACTTGATTTATTTTTCTGGTGTTATTTGCATGGAGAAATATGTGTTGAGATGTAACTCTCAGTGAAGATGTATTTCTGTGGAATTACTACTCTGCATGCTATAAATCCACAAACTGTCTAATTCGCTCATGTAATCCAGGATTACATGCTACAGTACACCTATCTGAATGGTATGGAGAGGCATGAGCCTATGTGAAATTACTAATCCATTCTCAATTGGGGCTGGGTGCTTGGTTGTCACAAACAATTTCTACAGCTTTGACAAATATGTTTACCTCAATTATTATTCTGTTGAAATCATTTTGAATGTATTATTAAAAATACAATGTCTTTAGTAGTGGGAGATGGGAATATAGTACCAACCGTTCTCCTCCTCACCCCACTTCCTTTGATTGTAAGAACATTTCCAGTCACGTTCGGTCAAGACCATTAGAGAGCATTCTTCAAATGCTTTCTGTTTCTTAGTCTAAACCTTACCATTCATGAAACTTTTAAAAGCAACAGCAATTTATCAACAAGGTACTGACTTTTTTCACAAGTGGTTTGCCTCTTTTTTAATGCAATTGTTATTTTAGCAGTTTATGAATACAACTACCTTCACACAGGGTTTAGCGTTTGAGTGATGACCTTACTGGTTTGTTGTCTAACTTAGTGTTTTTCTTGTGCAGAGGGTCCAAAGGAAAGGACATCAGCACCATCAAGTCCCTCAGAGTGCTGAGAGTCTTACGGCCCCTCAAGACCATCAAACGCCTACCCAAGCTGAAGGTACGGAATGGGACTTTACCCGACCTGACCCATTGTACACTACACATGTATTCACTAGTGTTGACTTATTGATGAGTGTTGTCAGGACACAGAGTCATCAGTGTGTACTGTATCTAACCCAGCCCCATGTTTCCCAGGCTGTGTTTGACTGCGTGGTCAACTCCCTGAAGAACGTGTTCAACATCCTCATCGTCTACATGCTCTTCATGTTCATCTTCGCTGTCATCGCCGTGCAGCTGTTCAAGGGCAAGTTCTTCTACTGCACCGATGAGTCCAAGGGACTGGAGAAAGACTGCAGGTAGGTCTACAGTACAGTACACTGACCAAGCCTGGCACAAGAAGAAGGGGCATTTTGAAATGAAACAGGAGAAGGCATATGAACAAATTTGGCACCAAGGCATTGGGCCCAACATTGATATAGCAAAACATGGAATAACGGTAACAGCTATAGGGAGGGCTCCCCCTCCAGGGTAGCTGTGGTGGTACAGCCCAGGGGCTCTATTTTTGGCTGGCAGTAAGGAGGCACAAGTGTCAAACGCACCGTAGGTTCTAATTTCGTTATGTAAAAACTGGCACATTTGCCAGTACGTCAGGTTTGGCATTTTACCAGTCTAACATCAACTGGCTTGCGCTGAGGTGGGAGGGGTGGAAATATTTGAGGGGTGTTCTTAAAAATTTGCGCCAATATGCCAATTTCAGTGAACACAACTAGGAATATTTAAAACCGACCAAAAGCTAGTCTTAGGGGTAACTCAATTGGTTATGACATTGATTTTGCCAACGGTGGTGCACACAGTAGCCTTATTTATGTATATCACAAATGTTTTATTAACATATCACAAGCAGCAAAACAGTCAAAAGACATTCCGCTTTTTTATATATATTGGACATTATTTCTGTTGAGCTTCTGTGAAACGATTGGACTCATTATGTGCGATCCCCATTTCATGAAAGGTGTCGGTGACTTGTAGGAAGCCTGTTTAGGAACATCAGGTTATCTAAAAGACTGCTTATTGTTTTTCGTTGATCATTTTGTAAAAAAATGCATCTTCCACTTTCCTCTGTTGGACCTAACTGTCAAATCGCGGGTAAGCTTTAGCTATATATATTTAAGAGCAGTAACGGTGAGTTGATATTTATACAGTTGAAGTCGGAAGTTTACATACACCTTAGCCAAATACATTTAAACTCAGTTTTTCACAATTCCTGACATTTAATCCTAGTAAAAAATCCCTGTCTTAGGTAAGTTAGGATCACCACTTTATTTTAAGAATGTGAAATGTCAGAATAATAGTAGACAGAATGATTTATTTAAGCTTTTATTTCTTTAATCACATTCCCAGTGGGTCAGAAATTTACATACACTCAATTAGTATTTGGTAGCATTGCCTTTAAATTGTTTAACTTGGGTCAAACGTTTCGGGTAGCCTTCCACAAGCTTCCCACAATAAGTTGGGTGAATTTTGGCCCATTCCTCCTGACAGAGCTGCTGTAACTGAGTCAGGTTTGTAGGCCTTCACGCTCACACACGCTTTTTCAGTTCTGCCCACAAATGTTCTATAGGATTGAGGTCAGGGCTTTGTGATGGCCACTCCAATACCTTGACTTTGTTGTCCTTAAGCCATTTTGCCACAACTTTGGAAGTATGCTTGGGTCATTGTCCATTTGGAAGACCCATTTGCGACCAAGCTTTAACTTCCTGACTGATGTCTTGAAATGTTGCTTCAATATATCCACATAATTTTCCTTCCTCATGATGCCATCTATTTTGTGAAGTGCACCAGTCCCTCCTGCAGCAAAGCACCCCCACAGCATGATGCTACCACCCCCGTGCATCACTGTTGGGATGGTGTTCTTTGACTTTCAAGCAACCCCCTTTTTCCTCCAAACATAACGATGCTCATTATGGCCAAACAGTTCTATTTTTGTTTCATCAGACCAGAGGACATTTCTCCAAAAACGACGATCTTTGTCCCCATGTGCAGTTGCAAACTGTAGTCTGGCTTTTTTATGGCAATTTTGGAGCAGTGGCTTCTTCCTTGCTAAGCGGCCTTTCAGGTTATGTCAATATAGGACTCGTTTTACTGTGGATATAGATAATTTTGTACCTGTTTCCTCCAGCATCTTCACAAGGTCCTTTGCTGTTGTTCTGGGATTGATTTGCACTTTTTGCACCAAAGTACGTTCATCTCTAGGAGACAGAACGCGTCTCCTTCCTGAGCGGTATGATGGCTGCGTGGTCCCATGGTGTTTATACTTGCGTACTATTGTTTGTACAGATGAATGTGGTACCTTCAGGCATTTGGAAATTGCTCCCAAGGATGAACCAGACTTGTGGAGGTCTACCATTTTTTTTCTGAGGTCTTGGCTGATTTCTTCTGTTTTTCCCATGATGTCAAGCAAAGAGGCACTGAGTTTGAAGGTAGGCCTTGAAATATATCCACAGGTACACCTCCAATTGACTCAAATGATGTCAATTAGCCTATCAGAAGCTTCTAAAGCCATGACATCATTTCCTGGAATTTTCCAAGCTGTTTAATGGCAAAGTCAACTTAGTGTATGTAAACTTCTGACCCACTAGAATTGTGATACAGTGAATTATAAGTGAAATAATCTGTCTGTAAACAATTGTTGGAAAAATGACTTGTGTCATGCACAAAGTAGATGTCCTAACCGACTTGCCAAAACAATAGTTTGTTAACAAGAAATTTGTGGAGTGGTTGAAAAATGAGTTTTAATGACTCCAACCTAAGTGTATGTAAACTTCCGACTTCAACTGTATATATAAAAACTATAAAATAACACATATGGAATCATGTAGTAACCAAAAAAGTGTTAAAGAAATCAAAATATATTTTATATTTGAGATTCTTCAAATAGCCACCCTTTGCCTTGATGACAGCTTTGCACACTCTTGGCATTCGCTCAACCAGCTTCACCTGGAATGCTTTTCCAACAGTCTTGAAGGAGTTTCTGCATACGCTGAGCACTTGTTGGCTGCTTTTCCATCACTCTGCAGTCCAACTCATCCAGCACTCCATCACTCTCTTTCTTGGTAAAAGCCCTTACACAGCCTGGAGGTGTGTTTTGGGTCATTGTCCTGTTGAAAAACAAATGATAGTCCCACTAAGCCCAAACCAGATGGGATGGCTTGTTGCTGCAGAATGCTGTGGTAGCCATGCTGGTTAAGTGTGCCTTGAATTCTAAATAAATCACAGACAGTGTCACCTGCAATGCTCCCCCACACCATTACACCTTCTCCTCCATGCTTTACGGTGGGAACTACACATGCGGAGATCATCCATTCACCCACACCGCGTCTCACAAAGACATGGCAGTTTGAACCAAAAATCTCAAATTTGGACTCCAGACCAAAGGACAAATTTCCACCGGTCTAATGTCCATTGCTGGTGTTTCTTGGCCCAAGCAGGTCTCTTCTTATTATTGGTGTCCTTTAGTAGTGGTTTCTTTACAGCAATTCGACCACGAAGGCCTGATTCACACAATCCCCCCTGAACAATTGATGTTGAGATGTGTCTGTTACTTGAACTCTGTGAAGCATTTATTTGGGATGCAATTTCTGAGGCTGGTAACTCTAAAGGAACTTATCCTCTGCAGCAGAGGTAACTCTGGGTCTTCCATTCCTGTGGTGGTCCTCATGAGAGCCAGTTTCATCATAGCGCTTGATGGTTTTTGCGATTGCACTTGAAGAAAGTTTCAAAGTTCTTGAAACTTTCCGTATTGACTGACCTTCATATCTTAAAGTAATCATGGACTGTCGTTTCTCTTTGCTTATTTGAGATGTTCTATGGACTTAGTCTTTTACCAAATAGGGATATCTTCTGTATACCCGCCCCTACCTTTTCACAACACAACTGATTGGCTCAAACGCATTAAGAAGGAAGGAAATTCCACAAATTAACTTTTAAGAATGCACACCTGTTAATTGAAATGTATTCCAGGTGACTACCTCATGAAGCTGGTTGAGAGAATTCCAAGAGTGTGCAAAGCTGTCATGAAGGCAAAGGATGGATGTTCGAAGACCGTCAAATATAAAATATATTTTGATATATTTAACACTTTCTTGGTTAGTACATGATTCCATATGTGTTATTTCATAGTTTTTATGTCTTCACTATTATTCTACAATATAGAAAATAGTAAAAATAAAGAAAAACCCTTGAATTAGTAGGTGTGTCCAAACTTTTGACTGGTATTGTATATATATACAGTGGCTTGCGAAAGTATTCACCCCCCTTGGCATTTTTCCTATTTTGTGTCCTTACAACCTGGTATGGATTTTTTGGGGGTTTGTATCATTCGATTTACACAACATGCCTACCACTTTGAAGATCCAAAATATTTTTTATTGTGAAACAAACAAGAAATAAGACCAAAAAAAATAAAACTTAACTAGAGCCACCTTTTGCAGCAATTACAGCTTCAAGTCTCTTGGGGTATGTCTCTATAAGCTTGGCACATCTAGCCACTGGGATTTTTGCCCATTCTTCAAGGCAAAACTGCTCCAGCTCCTTCAAGTTGGTGTGATGAGGTGATTTCGAAGGAGTCAGGCGCAGAAGGGTAAATCACAGAATAACAGGATTTATTCCTAAACACAGAGTTACTCAGTAATGCGTCCAACCACTCCAGTGTGCAAAACAGGCACACTGGAAAATACAGGACACACTGGGAAATAACCTGGCGATACAAAATACACGGAGCTCCACCGAGCTTCTCTATCCTCCACAATAAACAATCACACACAAAGACAAGGGGGCAGAGGGAACACTTATACAGGTACTGATGAGGGGATATGAACCAGGTGTGTGTAATAAACAAGACAAAACAAATGGAATGATGAGATGAGGAGCGGCAGTAGCTAGAAGGCCGGTGACGACGAACGCCAAAGCCTGCCCGAACAAGGAGAGGAGGCAACTTCAGAGGAAGTCATGACAGTTGGATGGGTTCCGCTGGTGTACAGCAATCTTTAAGTCATACCACATATTCTCAATTGGATTGAGGTCTGGGCTTTGACTAGGCCATTCCAAGACATTTAAATGTTTCCCCTTAAACCACTCGAGTGTTGCTTTAGCAGTATGCTTAGCGTCATTGTCCTGCTGGAAGGTGAACCTCCGTCCCAGTCTCAAATCTCTGGAAGACTGAAACAGGTTTCCCTCTAGAATTTCCCTGTATTTAGCGCCATCCATCATTCCTTCAATTCTGACCAGTTTCCCAGTCCCTGCCGATGAAAAACATCCCCACAGCATGATGCTGCCACCACCATGCTTCACTGTGG